CTGCGGCCGGCGTCAGGCTACGCCCAGCGGCCGCTGGACACGAAGCTCCTGCTGAAGGAGAAACTGACGTCTGAACTCTTGTGTTTCCCCCAGGCGCCGAAAGGAACCACGATGATTGTGCTGTTGTCCTCCGTACCGTAGTGAAGAGCCTGACACAGACAAGAATAGAGAAATAAGCCAGAAATCGTAAATGCTGGTTTTGTAAGTCATATCAAAGGCCTCCTTTAACATTTCATTAGAAACTTATTTATTTGATGGTGCGCAAAGACACAACTGTGAATTTAGCAACGAACTGAAAAACTATGTGTGACTATAAATCCATTTATACAAGTGTTGATGATGCAGATAAATAAAATACATTAACAAAATCATTTAAAATAAATGAAGTATAACAGATCTCCATCTAGTTGTAATTCAGAACTTTTTTTCCCATAGAGCAAATTTGAAATATTAGAAAGAAATTCCAGCTTGGGAGCATTGTTGTTTTTGGTAGCCATTTTTTATTTCTTAGTTAATAATACAAATAAGGATTTCACATAAAATCAAGTCAATTATGGAGGCTTTAGTATTTAGTCAGAGGCTTCTTAAATTTGCTGTAACACAGTCTGCTACTGCAGATCCTTCCTCCCAACAGCCAAGACCATCAACAATCTACAAGAATTTGAATTAATATGAGTTGCAACGTTTAATTTCCCTTTGGGTTCAATAAACTATTTGAGTCTCAGAAGATTATTGATTTCTCTTCATCTTCAGCAAAAGACCAGAAGTTATTTCTCCCTCTAGTGTTAGCCTAGCATGTTTTTATTTTAATTTACCCACAATTCCCTGCGCTGCAGTCCACTTCCTGCTTTTGACCAGTCGGTCCACTAGATGTGAAACCGCCGCAGAGTTCATTTCAATTCAACCGAGAAATGGGTTTGTAGGAGGACCACAGTTTGTGTTTTTGGTCCGATTGCAAATTCAAACCTCCTGAAACAAACCGGACTCTCAAGCCAAATAAACTAGTGTTTGATCAAAGATGTAATCGAGCCCTAATTAAAAACTGTTTCCTTCAAATGTGCTCTGAGTTGCATTTACACACTTCCTATTCCATCACTTTGACGTTATATTCATCTTTGTGTTTGTCGATTACATAAAGTCCTAGCAAATCATCCTAAAGCTTGCAGATAAAAAGCGAAAGCATTCAGGAGGTTTTGTTTCCTAGTTTGAAGGATTTCCCACCTGGTCAGATATTCTCTGCGCTGCCTCTTTGGGGTCGTGACACTGGTTGATGACGTTGCAGATCTCCTGGCTGTTCATGATGAAGTTGATGCCATCTGTGGTCAGAGCCAGAAAGGAATCATGGACGTGATGCAGCTGCAGAAAACAGAGACACTTCAGGAGTTTGGCCAGGAAACACTTTCATAAGACTTAAGATCAACTTGTCGTTGTCTATAGACACGTTGCATATTATTGTTTAGATCCAGAAATCTTCACACTGGAGGGGAAAAAGACGATTCTGTTACAAACCATCAAGATAAAACAATCCTGTTGACACAGGAAATCTAGAGACGTAGATATGATTAATTCAGTGCATCAGAGGAAAGAGAACAAGAAACCAAAGAAAAAACATTTAAAAAATCAAAACCACTCCAATTTGCCGTAGCAACTGATTAACAATAGTGCTACCAATGTGTCAGGATTCGACACCCAAACATTTCCCACAGAAAGAACAGAACATTCAATCGGTTAGTTTTATGTTTTCAGGCATGATGTTTATTTTGTGATTATTGATTATTGAACACAGCAGCGCTTGATTAGCTAATTTAAACACCTGCTCTACTGACAATATGTCAGAAAATTTGTCTGGGTCAACTTGCACATACATGTCTTTCACTGAACCAAACGCACCACATTCCACAGTACGTCTGTGTGTCGAGTTTGTCAAAGTCAAGCTAGCATAGCTGACCTACTTACCTCTCGCACTTTTTTTGTTAAATTAAAACTTTTTCCTGACCTCATCATCTAATTACCATTGTGTTAATAATTGGTAATTCGCTTTTTTTGTTGATATATCATATGTACATTTAATATTTAGCATGTCATGTTGACAACTTGTTAGCCAAAATCAAAGGTAGTCATTGTCCAAGCGCAGTTTTCTGCCCACCAGTAGCATGCGTTGCACCGTGCTACATCACGGTGCAACACGTCTATATGGATGGATGGTTTTAAACTTACTGTGACTCTTTTGGTTTCTGGCTCAGCAATGACTCCAATCTTCTTCAGGTCAAAGTCTCCGATGCTGCGTGTCATCGCCAGCCGGCCGTTGACGTTCGGCTGCCCGAGACTGTTCCAGGTGATGTAGCCCCCGCTTTTCTTTATCCTGACGTAAACAAAAAATATCTCTGATAAATACAGCATTAAAAATCGTAAAGTCAGCAACAGTGACTTACTATTGTTAAACGCATTTGTCTCTCAGACCACTGCGGTCGTAGAAAAGATCGGTAATTCACCCAGAATGAAAGCCATCATGGCAGCTCCTTCTGCCAAACACTGGATGACAAAAGGTTTCCGGTTTGCTGCTTTGGTGTCAGTTAGCCATTTTTTTGAAGGACAATTTTATTTCATAAAATATGGAGCAAAAATAATTAATTTTGCTCCATATGACTTACTGTATAGAAGTATGAACAGCACATATAAAAGCATTCAACTTATAGATTAAGTTCTATATAAGGTGAAGTTGAACATACAAATAATTTTTTTATTCAGTCACATCTTGAAATTAAGTTATTTATTTAATTAAAAATATATTAATTATGTTTAAAGCTAGAAATACTTTTTTCCAATTAATTTACAAACCCCTTTACAAACTGCATAATATTTTAAAGCAAATGTGCATTTTGGTGCATCGTGGAGTAAAATTATGGAACAGTTTGGATGAAAATGCTCTACTTTAAACTATTCAAAATTCTTTGTAAGAAAAAAATAGTTTTAAATGTGGGTATGTTGCCCTAAAAAATATTTTTAATTATTGAAAAAGAGGCAGGTTTCTATATATATTTTCTTCTTCCTGCTCCCTTTCCACTCTTGTAGAGGAAGTGAACATTTGTACATTGATGAGGAAATTAGTTAAATTGAAAGAATATTTATTTTGGATACCCGCATTTTTTTCCAGTTCCAGTGTTAAAAGTTCATCAGAATTTAAAGTTGATTGATGTTTGAGAACGTGTTGTTGCATTATTTCCATTATATGATTCGAAGATAATCTCAAAACAACAAATATTATCGTGTATCGCGATAACGTCTGGGAGAATTTAACATCAGCAAGGTTTACCTCTCCTTCTCGTCCCTTCTTTCAGGTGTGTGGTCAACAGTCAGCTTAAGAGCCTTGCCTTTGCGGCACAACATGGCGCGACTGTCCCCCACGCTGGCCACCACCAGCTCGATGCCGTCCCTCAGCAGCGCCACGGTGGCGGTGGTTCCCGCGTTCGATCCCGGCTCTAAAAAGACAAAGCAGGAACCGTCAGAGGCAGAACGAGAAATTCAGAAACACGCAGAAGGTCAACGGTCACATGGCGTGTCGCACATCCACAGAGCAGAACGTAAACAAACGGGCTGAGGTTGTTTTAGACTCAGAAAAAACTAGTTTACACAGTAAACACAGGATGTAAATCACACATGCAGGTAGAACTGCTGCAGCACAACGTTGAGACCCGGAGTAAGAGTCATGGCAAAAATAAACCTTAAAAACAAATGGCACACAACATACTCATTAAGAGTCCAGGCAGCAATAACAAACAAGCTAATCTAAAATGTCTATTTTCTGCCGGAATTATAAAATTATTATTAAGTATAAAAGGGTACACATCAACTCCTTTTATAGATATTAAATCTGAAAAACAAAAAAGTGCAAATAAACAGCAGTGATGTCTAATTCCTTAAGGGAAAACCATTTCAATCTGCTAAGTAATAATATTTCAGAGCGCCCTCCAGTTACCGGCACCCCTGGTAAAAATTAATCTTTTACTGAAACTACTAAAAACCATCACAAAGTAGTTTTAAATGTATTTAAATCTATTTTAGGTTTTTCCGTAATGACAACTTTTTATGATTCTCACCAATTCCTCTACAACAATAAGGTGATACAGATACAGTGGAAAATATATAGAAATTCAACCATTAGTTTAATTTCCAAAACTCACATACATTTCCCATGACACTGCTATCCCCTCTTGGATGTTTTACTCATATTATATATGTATAAACTTTTCAATCTGACGACTGTTCATCATTGATAATGTCACGTTCGATAGATTCATGATATTTCAAAATTATATAAGAAAATTAGTAAAGGGACAACCTTTTATAAAAATGTACAAGTTTTGAGCCACCAAATGTTTTGAAAAGCTGTCTAAATTTTTAACAAACTTTTAAAAAAGCAGTTTTTTTTCAGTCCAATTGGGTGGAAACTTTTTAAGTTTGTTTGTTTTGCTTATTTTCATGTTTCTTTTGCTAAAAAAAAAAAAAAGCTGAGTTAGGAGTCTTTTGCTACTGCTCATTGGTCCACGTTGTAAAAATGTGACGGAACTGAGAATTTTAACCACAAACTCTTCCAATTAATTCAAATACCCATGTTGGTATAGCGTGACATCATCAATTTATTGAACAATTCAGATTTTTAAAAGAAAATGGGGTAAAACTTCTACCCTGCCAGCTCATATTTTGCTACTGCATGTTTTTACCAGCAGCATCTTTAAATGTGGAGTACGCAGTGCCTTAAACATGCTGCATTTATTGAAGATCTTTCACTAATGAGCTACCGAACATGTCGTACAGCTGGTCAAACAGATGCATTGTCTCACAGGAAGCATACACTTGGTAAGAGAAGAGAAAGAAAGAGAATTTAGAGAAAGATAGGGAACCTTCCAGTAGTCCAGGTTTTAGGACCCGCTGGACTCTCCTTCAATATCTATCCTCTCGTCATCCACACTGGTACCAAGGGCCTCCAGCTCTGAGCTGGGTCAGCAGCTGCCGTAGATAACATGCACACACACACACAGGCATATTGGGACATTTCACACAGCGTGGCCCAAATCAGGCCACATAACACGTTTACTAGCTTTCACTGCAAGACATAATCTGTCTCTCAAACTGAATAGTAACTGAGAAAAACTAAATTTATGCGGCAAATGTGTAATTTTGTGTTTTAAGAGAAAGTTTGTTGTTTATTGCACTGGATTATTTGACAGATTGGGAAAAAAAAGTTTTTATATCAGGTAAAAATTACATTGAAAATGTATAGTATTTATTAAATTTTGCATAGAGTTTTTTTCTGCTTTGTACATTAAAAAGAAATAATAAAGTCCTACAAGACAGATAATAAAGCTCAGAAGACAAAACAAAATAACGCCTGGTAAAACTTAAACCAACATCCGAAAATGTGTGAAAAGTTTAAATATTTCTCAAAGATGCAGTATGTAATTTTTTTTTTTTTTTTTTTTAACACGGTCATCAAGTTGAGGTAGTATAATGAGAGACAGACAATATGTGGGGAAAACTCCTCCTCCATTAGCTAATCAGAGCCAGTAGGCGGGTCTTAGCGCCGTCAATCACACCTGTGTTTGTGCTGCTTAGTGTGCCAATGGCAGAACAAACACTTATCCGCCATCAAAGGCACTGATCATGCTAGTTAGTGAATGCTAACTAGCCTTCGCATTCAGTACATATTCTGCTATCAGAGGCAACAGGGTAAGAGCGACATGTACACAAGAATGATTGACAGAGCTAAGATTCGCCTCCTCGCTCTGCTTGTTTCTAGCAGTGAGAAGACGGAGCAGCTCGTTTTTTTTTTCCACAGATTGCCTGTTTCATAACATATTTTTACTGACATGATGAGTTTCATACGGCAGCTTTAATGACAAAATACTTTTCAAAAGTTATCAGTTTGCTGTTGTTTTCCACTTTATTGCGGATCATCATCTGGTTAATGATTTTGGGCCGAGCTTCATCTACCTGATCACACAATATTTTGATCTATAGACCAGTTGATGATTGGCTCAGCTGTAGCTTTGGAAACTGTAGCTCTTTTGGTGCATCTCTTCCTTTGTTTTAATCGTGATGAACTACTAATTGAAATAATCGTCAGCTAATTGATTCAATTGTTAACTGGAGTATACAGACTCAAAAGACAATTCAATGATAGAAAAACATACTCAGAGCAATATTTAAACCAAAACTGTACAAAATAAATTTACATTTGAGATAAAAAAAACCCTTCATTGTCTGTAAATATATTCGACCAAGAAATCAAGTGGCAAAGTTTCAGCTTTCAATTAATGCCTTTTTATTGCATTTTAGCCATTATGAATATGTATGACTGATTACTTGATTAATAGCCAGAATAATCGATTACGAAATTAATTATCTGTATCCCTAAAATCTTTTTCGAATTGATTCTTCAACCTGACAGCAAATTTGCTGCAACATCTTAAATATTTTCTCCTCTTCCATCCTATAGAATAATGGGAAATTAATTACTTTAAAAATTGCCAAGAAAAACATCCATACTCTGCTTTCACAGTTAGATTCACAAGCACTAATGATCATTTAATTAAACTGATTTCATCTGCAGCAACTGCCATTTTCAACACTGTGATCTGCGTTTTGGTTTAGTTTCTTGTCAGGAACAAAAGTTTAATATTTTATGTTCTGCTTTTTAACTTTCTTTTACTCAAGATTTTCTGAGGATCGGATGAATACCAATCCTCATATGAATTTACAGAAAATAAACATTTACTTTAAACAAATTTCCAGAAAGCTTTGCGAGTCGTTTGTATGACCGACAGTAAAAACTATTTCAAATTCTCACTTTTTAAAATCTTTAAAATGTTATTATCTAGTGTCTGCAGCAATAGATTAACATGCAGTTACTTATCAAGCTAATTAGATCAACATTTTTAATGTCCATCAATTTAACTGACAAGGTTTTCCTTTGAGTTGCTGCCTATATGCACATTTGAATTATTTGACATTTACTTAATTTTGCCCGTTTCTTCTTTTTATAGCTTGTTATTTAATAAAAATTAGGAAACACAGACCTAGAATTAAAATCTAAGACCTATGTAAGATAAATACATTTGGTTCAAATACAGGAGGAGGGAAAATGTTTAAAAATCAAAACGTGTTTTAACACAGTGTACAAAAAATATTTAAAGGAATATTCAAAAAACAGTACCTACCATTTGGATAGAAGTGCAAGTGCTTTGCCAAAGCTTTGTCTACTTCTAGGAAGGCTTTCGTTAAAGCCGATTCCAGATTGTCATCCTCTGCCAGAATGTCCCTGAAAAAAGATTAGAAATATTATCACTAAAAATTAAAATTCCTCGATTATTTCCAATATTTGTGTGTAAAACTCTAGACACATTTCAGTGTGAGATCCCACCTGCAAAAAAACTGCTCACTGACGATGACTACTGTTGGTTTTAGCTGTTAGGTTATGAACATAATGTGCTAAATCTAAAATTACGCTTGACATGTAAAGCAGGCATACATTGTACCACTGCTTTGCTACAAGACTGTCAACACTACAAGAACTAGGTCACAAAAAAGGTTTAATTAAAAAAAAGAGCAAAGAACAGGGAAGTAGGACAGTTATGCTAGCTTGACTATGACAAATGTAATATCTAGAGGTGTGGTGGAATCTGGCGCATTTCATTTAGTTAAAAAATAAACACACACATCAACTCTGAGAGATCATCCGTAGAGCCTGTGTTTAAATCAGCTAATCAACCACCGCCATACTGGATTAGCTAAGAGAGCAGCGTTGGCTAATCTACCACAGCGATCACTTAATAATCTCAAAATTAACATCAAGCTTAAAAACATAATACTGCAAAGGACTGAATGTTCTGTTCTTTGCATGTTCTTTGGTGTTGAATCCTGATACATGTAGTGATGTTGTTGTCAGTTACTATGGCAATGAGCCTGTGTCGTGCAGCTGACAAAGAGAGTGAGAAAAAAAGAATATGAGTGGTTTTGAGATGTTCTGTAATATTTTTGCTATTTTCCCTTTGCAGTGGCGCATTGCACTAAATGAATAATACCTGAATCTCCATGTGTCGCTTAGTTAACGGGCTCTTTCTACCGAGGCTCCACAGCTATGGATGGCCGGTAAAAGAATCACATTTTTTGCCCTCCAGCGTTGTGCGCATGTGCAAAGATTTCCAGGTATAGACTATAACATGTAACGTGTCTATATGTACGACTCCCTTACTTGATGAATTTCTTCATGTATTTTTCGCAGAAGTCGGCTGCTTCAGAGCCGCCATGGCCATCAAACACGGCGAAGTACAGGGTGTTTTCATTTATCTGGGAGACCTGGTACCGGTCCTCATTCTCCTTGCGTTGGCCAATCAGGGTTGCACACCCTACCTTAGATAGACTAACTTTGGGAATGGGTTTGCCATAGCGAATGCTAGGGGGGAGCATGATGGGCTCGTCGATGCGATCATCCCAAATCCCAAAGGAGTCCCAAGTCGTAAGGCGGCCGCTGCCGTCTGGATCGAAGCGCGTGTTGCTGTATCGCCTCCCAGAAGGTCCAGAAATTTGTCTGCAGAACAATGGGAACTGTGCTTTGTGGCTATCAAGCTGAAAAGGCAGCAGATCGAAAGCCTTCTGTAGCAAACCACTGCGACCGATGTTAGAACCGCTGCACCTGATCAGGCGCACAAGGCAGGAAGTTGACATCACCCTGAAGACCCTCACAGAGGAAGGAGCAGGGGAGGAGGTGTTCACAATGTTCAAAAACTGAAGACAAACAGGAATGAAAAGGAGACAAAAATCTTATTAGGGCTGTAAATTAACTGAAATGTTCATATCAGTATAACATTTTGCACAATTAAAAAAAACTGTTTCATCTTGTAATGTTACTGAAATATGAAGCATGTGCACACTTTGTTACCAATTTAGGAAAATACAAATATATAAAATCTGACATGACATGACAAACAACCATGCACACACACACAGGTAGGGAGAATTTAGAGACCAATTAATCTGACATGTGTTTTGACTGTAAGCCAGAGTACCCAGAGAGAACCCACCATGCACAGGGAGAACATGCAAACTCTGTGCAGAAAGACCGGGAATCGAACCCAGGACCTTCTTGCTGAAAGGCAAGAAGGCGCTCCCAACTGCGCCACTGTGCAGCCAACCAATAGTCCACCAATTATAATTTTTTTTGTCAGTTTCAGTTTCTTTATTATTTGTTTCACATTGGCTGTTATATTCTAAATTTCACTGACTGGACAAGTTAGTTATTTTTACATGTTTGTCCAAAATTGTGAAGGTACTAGTGGATGTGCTTTATTGGTGCAGAGTTATCAAATAAACTTGTATTTCAATACATTTATGTCTGTGTTTTTTAAAAAAAAGACATTTCATCTCTCTACAAAAAAAAAACAAAAAAAAAAACAAACAAACAAGATCTTATCCAAGAAACTACTTCTACTAAACACGGAAACTCAACAATCTTATTTTTACTATCTAGAGCAAAAAGAGTAAAATATGGGAATGAAGGAAACATGGTGAAAGGAAACACAAATACATGCCTGTGAGCAGAGAAAAGGTAAATAATTGACTCAAAGCAAAACATTTCTGCAGCCAGAAAATCCCAAGAATTTTAAATGACCAGAGCAGCAGCCAGTGGTAAAAATTATGAACTGGTGTTGATTTAGGGTTGATTTACTTTTCCAGAAAGTATGCTTGCTTGTGTAAATTTAAAATATTAATTCAGCAGCTCCTTTAACCCAAGTGGAGAAGGAAAAAACAATACTTTGTAAAGTAAAAACTTCTGATATGAATGTGTTAACTGACAGAAACTGATTAAACATCTTAATTTTTATCACATGCTTTCTCAATATCCCATACATTGAGGCAGGGCAAGTTGCACCTCCACTTATTTGTAGTATCAGAGTGTACTATATAAATGTCAATGATGAACATTATTTCTTTTACATATATATCTGAATTTAGTTATATTGATTACAAGTAACAAGAAAGACTCTTAATATTAATGGGAAAACATCACTACATGCAAATTGAATGGTCTAAATTGAAATTCAACAGTTTTAATCCAGAAATGAACGTCTCTAACTGATGCAATAACGTACAGATATGACAAACTGCTGTCAAATTCGATGTTTTCAGCTGTACTTTACCATCTAATACCGCCAGACAACTCAAACCTGGACAAAGTCCACTGAAGATTAATAAAACTATTTTCGTAAAATCTAATCGGAGGATTAGTTTCTACTTTGAAGAGAACCAAAGCACCGCGAAACATAAACGTTTTTCCAGTAAATGTAGAATTGTTGAGTCCAAGTTTTAACATTTTAGATATTTAAGCTTTTCAACCAGAGTCGAAATTCCTTAAATTCCTTAGATGGCGAATCAGAGGCTAACTTCGTTGTAGCTAACGTCGTTGTCTCGCTAGCTATTATTTCCAGTATAAACGTTGCGTGATTACTACGTAATAGTATTATTTTATGCCTTTGATAAAATTGTAATTACCTTCATGTAGTAGCAAATAAAATCAACTAAAATAGTGAGACGCGTCAATAAAAAGGATTTGTCGTCATTTTTAGTCTTGCGCGTTAGGTAGCTTAGCGAACAAGCTAAGTGGCTAACTTTAGCTTGAGATACGCAGTTTGTAAAAAAATAAAATAAAAAAAAAAAACACGAACGCCACGACTTAAAGTCTCGAGTTGTGTATTACAAAGTCATACCTTGGATTTATCAAAAAATATAACTGTAGAGTCGAATCCCTGCGTTTGCTTCCGAAAGAGCGACTGAATGAAAACAGAGTGAAAAACCTCCTCCGCCCTCTTCTCCGTATTGTCAAACAAGACCTCTCTGATGTGAGCGCATCAATCAGCTTTTAGTTCGTTTCACCCCCCGTAAACAGCGCTTCCGATTGGTCCAATTAGTTACAACTGCAAAGGGCATCCACAAATCAAAAATCATGTTGCAGACAGTCAAAAAAGGGGCTTTTTAACACAAGTGAATAAATATTTGAGTATATGTGACAGCAAAAGGATGTCCTGTGTATAAATCTCTATTTACCTGACTCTATTTTGAGTTTGTTAGCACTCCCAATGTAGAACTCAGGTAAACAGTCAACTCTCAAATTACATAAAATATATTTCGGCAGTTCTGGATAGTAAATACACAGATTTACTATCCAGAACTGCAGGAATTTAAGGTTAAACCAAACCAAACCTGTTTGTGCATTTTCGTTTTACTATGCAAAACTACCTTGTGGTTTTGAGGCTTTTTGTCAAGTTCCTCAAATTTCTTGGAACGCCTCAGTTAAAATGCATTAAAATGTGTAATAGTTAGTCATCTTCTACTGCAGTGGCATAATTGCATTATGAAAACATTTTGATATATTTAAGATGTGATTTAAGTGCATTAATTTAAGAAATGACTATTTTGGATTAAAGTAACTGTCCTGAGTTACAGTCACTAACATTCACTTTATATAGGGAGGACAGGGATGTCTGCAGTGATGTAGCGGTCTGTTGTAGTGAAAAGAAAGCTTGGCTATTGGTTTACGGGTTGGTCTACGTTCCAAAGCTTATTTGTATTCATATTTACTAGTATTATGTCATGACACCATACTTCATAGGTTATGTATGATGTCTACAGGAAACTTTTGTAATATGCAGTCAGTACTTTCCAGACGTTGCTGTGTGTTTTTGTTGCTGCAGAGTTTTGTTGCTGCCCAGTTTCTTTTCTGTTTTCTTCTGCTTTGAAGCAAAATCCTGCTCTGTTGTCCCATACTTTATAATTATCTTCACTCTTTTCCATTGTACATCTAATGGCTTGTCTTTTGTAGCCTCCTTCTGACTAATGCCTCTTCACATTGGCATCACTCTGCTTTAAAAACTTTCTGCAGAATATGGCATTTTATATCCACAGTATGTTGAGCGAGAGCAGACTTTGGGTAAAAAGTGGGTCCCATATAGGCCCTAAATCTGTTGCAAACAGTTAAACTGATATTCCCAATATATATCGGGGGGATGTAGCTAAGCTTCAATTGCTTCTTCTGATGTGGGGTGTGCTGTAAATTTTGCGAATATATTCATGGCAGTATCATTGTGTAGCATAAAAAATAAAATAATAATAATACCTGAATTATGACCCCAAGTCCCAATAAAAGAAGGCATTACTTCTCGAAGATATTTGGATTATATAAAACAACATATAATTTCGCTATGTGACAAATAAAAGTTAAGCAGAATTGAAATCAACGAACAGGCCAAAATATTTCAGTTTTTAATAACACTCGAACTTCCGGTTCAGCGGGCCAATCACATCATTCCTACTTCTGAGGCGTTCGGTGACGTAAACATCTGTAGCACTTCCTCATTTTTTTTGTCAGCTGCACACCAGAAGCCAAACGCCCCTTCCTCAACATGCTTTTGTCGAGGTGAGAAAACCGACTGTGCGATTTAGAAATTATTTTTTCCCATAGCAACCGTCCAGGTGGAGTTTCAAACAAGCGATATGAAGATTTCTGCTGGTTTCCAGCGCCGCTGTCGCTCGCAGCTCAGTTAGCTGGACGGTTAGCTGCTTCTGTTTGAGATTTTACTACGAAGATAAAGCGATATCGGTGGGCATAAGCGGATGTGTTCAGTCTAGTTTGTAATTCCTTTGTTAGCCTAAAATCTGTTGTAACCGAGAGCTGGGGGGGTTATGATGCACAGTTAAAGAGCTAAAGTTAGCAGCTAGCCGAGCGGAGTGCTGTGATAATCCTTTCACACGATAAACATGAACTGAGACACAAATCGGTGTTAGAGAGGCTTGTTTTTGATGATGTTGCGATGACTGTTTCTATAAGAATACAACTGAAACTAATGGCAGTTGCTGTTTTTTATGGATCGATTTTAAAGCAAATAAAGCTGAAATCAAAGCATTTAAATCATGGTGAAAATGAGAGAAATTGATCTGTGATTTATTTTTTAAAATCATTTTTAAAAGATTTTTTTTGGCACTTACTATGTAGCTTGAACAGGAAATTGAACCCGTGACGGTTGCGCCAGGGAACTAAGCCTCTGTCTTTGGTATATTTTGATGATGTCAGTGATTAGTTACCTAAAAGTTCCCCCAAATACCTCCAGAAATTTTCTTTATATCAAAAGAATAAAAATTCAGCATTTGTTTTGGTGATTTAACAAATCATTCATGCCATTAAACCTACCAGAATCCATAATTTAATAAATTAAATTACAGTAGATATGAGCAGAAAGCTCCACTTTTTTGCTTTAGGAAACTCCTAGAACCAAGTTTTCATTGTATGATAATCTTGAGTAAAAATAACAACGTTTTATTTTATACAAAGAGTCAAAACCAAAATAAATAACATGTAATAAATTATTTAAGTGCTTTTATTGACCAAAAAGGCTACAATTATTCCTACAACTGCCTCAAACAGTGGAAACTATCTTAGGACAATACAGAAAGAAGCACATCCTCAGTCATCCAGTCATAGGCACTGTTAGGAGCACAGCCAATCAGCACCAAGGAAAATAAATGCTGCTTCTGGATTGGCTGCTTTGCAAACTGCAGCCAATAGCTTGTGAGTTAGAATTGCTAACATAAGTAAGACCACAGAGAATATAGATTGATGTAGTTTAATCTATAACGGTAAGAACAGTATCTGGGAGTATTTGTTTTGATTTTCACAGACTAGTTGGCCCAGATTTCCTTAATTCTGGGAGATCGGTTGATACTTGCCTCCCTCTGCAAGAATGTGAACATTGTATTCGGCCAGAAAATTACAATTGATGCACTCCTAGTTTTGTGTACACTGTAAAAACACAATATCTTTCAAAGTATTTTTGGTCCAGTTTCTAGTGCAAATATCTTAATCCATTTGAAACAAGACAAAACTGTCTTACAAGTAACTTTTCAGCAAGATACAGAAGCTTGTTTGAAGTCAGTAATTCTTTAATATTGGCTTTGAAAAGTATTATTTCCACTATATTTTCATTAATAACAATATATTTTTTCTATATTATGAGGGAAATAATTTACCATCAGCATTAGGGAATTATTGACTTACAACAAACTCCTATATCTTGCTGTAGTTACTTGTAAGCTAGTTTTGTCTCATTTCAAGTGTATTTATATATTTGAAATAGAAACTAAAAGTAAAGTTCTTGGTAAAATTTTGTATTTTGCAGTGATGTTTCTATCCCCGATATTTGGTAATAAACAATAAACAGTCACAAAAACTGAACATCATGATCTTTATAGCTTTTAACTAAAGTCACTAAAGTCTGGTGACAACGTAGAAATGGGGTTGAAATTATGATTCATTCTGGGTCCATTCATTTAAAACTGATGTTCGGTCTTTCTACTTGCCTCATTCTATCAACAAGCATTCCTAAATCGAATCCCTGCTTTCTAACTGAAGAGCCCTTGTTAACTAGCAGGCGATATTTTCCACTGAAGATGATGAGTCGTTCCTGCTGTTTTCCCAGGGTTGGAGTTTACATGAAGAGGAGAAAGCGGGGCTGATCTGAGGCTTGAACAGAATCGTCTCCCTCAATCTGGCCCTCGTTCTCTCCGCCTCTTCAGACTGCTGCTCATTTCCTTTTATCAGCATGCTGGGCTGGGGGAACGCCAGGGATGGGCAGCTGGGCATTGGCGCGGAGAGGAACCCCGCGTTTGAGCCCAGGAGCTGCCATGTGTTCAGCGGGCGGGGACTGAAGGAGGTCGCGTGCGGAGGGCAGCACACGCTGTTCCTGCTGCACGACGGCAGCGTTTACACGTGTGGCTCCAACAGCTGCGGACAGCTGGGCCACAACAGAGATGGGACGTCCCCAGGTAAGCTTTTGTTCTGCAGCTTCAGTGCTTTAAGCTGCATCATCCTGCAGAGAGACACTGTGGAGAGGCAGCAAAGCAGTCTGAAGAATGTGGGAAAACATGGAGAGAAGAAAGGATTTTCATCTATTCATGGGCCTGTCACAATAAACTGTAAATCAATTAATTGGATAATAAATTAGCAAGCTGAATAATCTCCATTTGCATAATTTATCAGTTTTCTTTTCTCTCTTTATTTCTACCAAAATCTGGATGACCTAAGTCTTCAATTTGGAATCAACTGGTCCTTTTTTTGAAGGACAGTTTTGTTCACAGAAAGTTCATAATTCACTTTATTTGTTGTTTCAGTTGTTTTCTTTATTTTTGGATATTTAAAACGACTTCCAGTTCAGGTGTTAAACGTTCGTTTGGAGTTAAAGTTTGAGACAGCATTACAATGCCATGATCATCATATTACATGAAAATGGTCTCAAAACAACAACATTATGGTTTACCGTAAAAAAACTTCTGGGAAAATGTTTTGTCTTGCAAAATTTGTGGATAACTAGGCCTAGTTATGGATGGAAGTGTTTCCCTCCTGGGAATGTAGGTGTATTTAAAGCCACACCCAAATTCACGGTAGACTTTAGTTAGACTACTGAGAAAGTTAGGAAATTTCTATGAAAACTCTCAAGGAACCCTGAAGCACGATTTGTACAGGCATGTCGGAGAGCCTGTTAGACAATCCAGGCTGGAATCAGTGAAAGCTTTCATATCTAAAGTGGTAGGCTGTATTATAATAGTAGTACGTTATTATTATCATAAATTACACAGAATACATTTTTGAACATCAGAAGCTATTGCATATTTAGGATTCATCCATTTCTGCTTAGCTTCTTTGTTAAAGTCTGCAGCTGAAAACCACACAGGAAACACAGAGTAACTGCTTGTAATTATCTGCTCTGTTTTTCTTATTTCCAGAAGTTCCTGCTTCTACTTCTGAGTCAATAGCAACACTCTGGAACAGTTTAAATGCATCTATCATAGCTTTTATAGAACAA